TGCTTACATTTTCTGATACTGACAGGTTATACTAATAGCTACTAAGCCCATTTTTTTATCAGATGTTTAGTAAGGATGACTCTTCCGAATCATGCTCCAAAAACAGGCCTGCGTTATACAGGCCATCTGATAAAAAATGGGCTTAGTAGCTATTAGTATAACCTGTCAGTATCAGAAAATGTAAGCAGCCAATATCGACTAGAAAAACCTTTCAAGCGAGATATCTCAAAAACTGTGAATATTTGAATAGAACTATTTTACACAAAGTACCCTTTATTTTTTATGTAGAATCCGAAAAAATATAAAAAATGTGTTTCCATGTAAAAAACCAAAGTTGGTGTCTGGCCAGGAAAAGTGGAACACCCTGTATAGATGAATATATTTTTAATTTGTACATTCCGAGAAATGTGGTAACACAGTAAAAAGAAAAATTCATATATTCCCTATTTTAACATAGATATTGGACTTTCCCGCACTAGTGGGACACGCTGTAGAATTAAGAAATACTGCTTACAATTTTGGCACTCTAGTATAAAGATGCTGTGTTACAGTCAGTTGTGTCACCCTGTATACGGAAATAATTTAATTCTATAATTAAAGGTTTGCCCGGTTCTCACTCTCACGTAGAAGTAAACAAGCGTGTACGTACGACGTCTCTGTTGTGTCAGATGCGGAACCTTGAACTCTTTTCTTAGAATCAATAGCGCGATATGGAAAATAAATAAAATAAGACAAATCATTACAGGCATTTGAATAATTGCTGCATGCGAAGGAATGCTTCAGAGTGATGAAACTTATAAGGCCTAGCTAATTACTCAGTCGGCGCAGTTTCAGGGGAGCCGCAACAGATCCGTCGAAGCGAAAATGTTAGAAATGAAAAATGTTCGAGTACAAAGTGTGTCTCCAAGGTCGACAGACGCCGTACGAAATATTTCGCTGGTGACTGTGCGGGGGAATGAGTTTAATTTTATTCCAAACTCCGGTCACAAAGATTTATCCGTTTTAAATTTGATTCAGAACGGTTTGAGCCGGGTCGGATTGGGTTTATTTCTTGTTGGTCTTGCGGGCAGGTAAAATGGGGAATTTTGGGGAATTAATGTATCAAATGGTTTCTTTTGTGAAAAATAGATGAGTGGAAAGATTAGCTTCCAAATGTGTCACTCTGGTTAACTTATTCACGGCGTTAAAAGGTATTTCAAATTTGAAATGTTTATAGTAAAATGAACATTGAGACTGGTATAATGGGTTCAGTTTTATCCGTACGATACTCAAAGTGTGCAAACGTTATGCAAATAATTTCCCATCTACCGCTAAATTTCTGTCAACAAGTACTTTACAAAACAACTGAAGATCTATACTTCTAAAATGTCTTATTTTTATTGTTGTAACTTCATAAAAAAAATTCACAACAACCGTCAATGGGCATATAAAAATGTTCACGCGACAAGAGAAATTAATTACCATCAGTTCTCATGAAATGTTTAAATGGTGTTATTGGAAATTACATTATTGCACCATTCTTTCTGCCATTAAGATTGCATAAATCAACTATTGGTCCTTCTTGATGTTGTACCACTTAATCCGCATACCGGTTTTTGGTTTATGCATGACGGAGCACCGCATCATTTCAGTTTAGTAACTCCGGAATATCTGAACAAAATGTATCAAAATAGAAAGACGGCTAGGATGAGGCACGGTTCAAACCTACCAACCGTGATCCCTTAGTTCACAGGACTTAAATCCATAGACCCTTTGAGGACATAAAAACCTTTTATATGCAATGTACAACGTATGTGATGACATTGAATGTAATTAAACTTATACTTCATAGAATTCTTTTTGATTGAGTCCAAGAATTTTAATATCACGATTTACCAATATTCACTCAATATTGAACATTTTGATCATTTTACTCAGTTGTGATAATAAATAAATTCTGCAGGTAAACTCGTATTTGATACACTTGTAGCTAAATCGGAGTAAATGTTGTCATTATTGTGTGACTCTACCCCATTCTATGGTTGTCGTGCGTTGTCTTTGTCTATTCCCATCGTCCCCATTAGGTCATCTCGTGAAGTGGTGTATGGCGGGTAGTGCTGGACAAGTGTCTGTTAATCCGGTTATTTTGGTGAAAATTATGTTTAAATGCAGTTGCTTGATTACAGTATTTAAAAACAATAACATATTCAGTCCCGATTATTATTTGGTTACATAAACGAATAGTTAAATTGTTACCTATACTTACTTATCTGTAATGTACAATATAGGTTATGGCAATATATTCGTCCGATTAGTTAACCAATTCCTTTAGTCGAGACCTAAAATATTGCCTCTAAAACAGATCTGTGTAGAAACTATAGCAGCTTAGTAGTTTATGACTTTAATACAATGATATTTGAATTAAAATTTATAGAATATACAGTGGCGCAAGACCACTCCAGATATTAATGAAATTCTGGGTCACCGCTACCCTTGCAAATTTCACAGTACGAAATTACTCAATAATAGTTAAATTTAAATCATATAAGAGAAACATTCAACTCTTAATTGGTTTTACATACTTAGAATAGAGTCAAAAGTCAGTTACTTGATATTCAGCAGAAACTCGAATTTGAATAAAATTCACTCACTTCTGTTGCAATAGTTTCACTCATAAAATTTTAGTTGTACTCATACTAATAGAGTGAAATTTTCACTCAGTAGGATGTGGACAGAAATTGATACAGTATTGAGTAAAATTGAGTGGATTTGAGTGATTTTTTTTACAGTCTGCTGTATTACTCCAAAATCTATTAAATGTGTTTCCTACTAAATTTATACATTTGTTTAAAGTAAAAATATTGTAAAATTATGACACTTAAAAAATAATACAAAAAAAATCCAGTGTTTTTCATAAGTTTGTTTTTATAATTGGCTTTATCATTTTATTCTACGTCAATAAAGACCCAATTACATTACAATCGGTTAAACAATAATGGGGTTATTAAAAAAAAATAAAAATTGAACATTTAACTTTGGACGCCAATAACTTTCTTCTGACAACTTTTTATCCGAACAAAAGTGGTTATACCCTTCCTGTTTATTCCGCGCTTTTACAGGAGGAATGTCCTCATGAAGAATGTCCTGTATAAAACTATTTAAGTGTCTATACAAATATTGAATCTGTTAAAGAACTATATACCGGGTGTCCCATTTTAAAAAATACACGTGAATATCTCTTAAGTTAAGGGCTTAATGTAAAAATGTTTCACATAAAAGTTGTAGGGTTTTGAGGGGGACATCTAATGGTGACATTGACCATGTCCTTGACCATGACCTTCAAGGTCATTTCAAAGCCAAGTTGATTTTTTCAATGGCACCAGAAATGAAAAGAGCAGAAAATTTTACATCCGACTAATAACCTTGACCATGACCTTCAAGGGCATTTGAAGGTCATTTTAGTTTCTTGTTGCAAAATTCATTTCCCTCTTGCCGAATAGTGTACATGGGGGGGTTTCGAGGGCGCTGATCGTGAATATGAAGTCAGAATTTGAAAATATTCAAATCCAATATGGCCGATCAATTTTTGGTAAACGTTTTTAATATTTTAATAGTCATATGGATTAACACTTTGAAAATGCTTCAACCTACGTTAAAACTCAAGGTTGAGCCGAATATTCGACATATTGGATGCCGCAAAGGGTTAATAGGTATTCTGGAAAATTATGGCGAGCCCCACATATCAAAAAGAAAAAAATGAACAAGATTAAAGTTTTGCCTGCAAAATACTAGAATGACCTTCAAATGACTTTTGAAACTTAAGGTCATGATCAAAGTTAGGAAGGAAAATTCTCCGCACTTTCTATTTTGGTTTGAAAGATACCGATTTCTAATCGAAAAATTAACTTGACCTTGAAATGACCGTCAAGGTCAAGGTCAATGTCATAGATGGACGTGAAATGGCCCGCTCTTCTCATTTCTGGTCTCAAAAGTAGAATTTTGCAACAAAATCTAAAATAACCTTCAAATGACCTTGAAGGTCATGGTCAAGGTCTTAATCGGATGTACAATTTTCTGCTCTGTTCATTTCTGTTGTCAAAAATAAGTGTTTCCATTTGAAAAAATCAACTTGACCTTGAAATGACCTTAGAGGTCATGGTCAATGTCGTAGACGGACGTGAAATGGCCCGCTCTTCTCATTTCTGGTCTCAAAAATTGTAGAAATTTGCAACAAAAACGAAAATAACCTTCAAATGACCTTGAAGGTCATGGTCTAGGTCATGGTCGGGTGTAAAATTTTCTGCTATTTTCATTTCCTGGTGTCAAAAATATGTGTTTCCATTTGAATAAATCGACTTGACCTTGAAATGACCTTGGAGGTCATGGTCAAGGTCACCATTAGATGTCCCCCTCAAAACCCTACAATTTTTGTATGAAAAATTTGTTCATTTAGCCCTTAATTTAAAATATATTCACATGTATTTTTTAAAATGGGACACCCGGTATAGTAAAATACGAGAAACATATCAGATGTGGCGCTACTAAATAGGTATTTAAAAGATAGACTGGACATAGTAAACGATTTCTTTCGGAGGGCTTTATGCGATTCTAATGGGGGTAATCGGGGGAGTACTAAAATATGAAGAGCATTTCCGTGCTCCGGTCGTCCTCCGGCCGCTTTGTCTCGTGGATCCTGTGCCGCGGCCTCGCCATAAGTACGTAATTTAGTTTCGCTTAACAAATGAGAGTAATTTGTATCCGAGAAAGTATAATGCGGAACAGTCAGGCGACGCGGGAACATCTGCGGCCCCAAAGGCTAAACTATACAGATGTATTCCTCGGCCGCCGCCGCCGCCGAAGAGTTCCGCAGCCCGGCGGCGCGCCGCCACTCGAGGCTTGCGCGCGCTCGCCACCGCCGCCTAGCAGCCGCTACGGCAGGGCGACCAGATCACTTGACGTTGCTCGCTCGCGTGCCTCAGTCCGGCGTGGATCTCTTTTGCTCGCACCGCACCTCACGTGTCAACGACGGCAACGTTGCCGTCATCATCGGCCTCCCTGCAAGAGACATGGAATAATACAGCCGGTTTACAGTGCTCTAGTGCGACCGCGACTTACCCAGTGCCACGCAGCGGATGAATTCACCCTGCACTGCGAGTGTTCCTTTCGAGTAAAGTGATTGTTGAGACTTCTTATAAACCGAGGATTGACCGGTGCCAGAGCATCATCCCCTCACCGGTAAGTCTTTGTCTGCTGCTGCTTCTCCCGTCTCCGGTTTGCGGCTCGTCGCGTCGCTTCCGCTTTTGCTGGAAGTCGCCGATTCCTGCTAGGGGAGCGATCGATCCTTCGTCTTCCTTCCCTGCCGGGACCCCAGCCGGTGGTCGCAGCCGATGCGATAATTGCAGCGGGTGCTTTTACTTTCGCACGGTCGTGACTTTGATTCGGCGGGGCGGTTCTAGTTGTGCGTTGCCTTTGGTCGGGTTGATTAACCGAATTCACGGACATCCATCACATTCTGGACTTGGAAGCCGCCTGACGACATCGCGCGTTAAGAGGTACCACGGGCCGGTAGGAATGTAAATATCGCCGCTGCTATTTCGACCGGCCAGAAAAACACGGCTATTAAATTTAACGGCTGGGTTTCGCGTAAATATCCTGGATGTAAATATTAGTTGTCTATTTAAAAAAAATTACTGCCCGGCGTATGAAGTTAGTAGATCTGTTCCAGAATTTACAATTTTATAATCGATTATCTTATGGACGTCTACATGTCTACCAGAAAGGCATACTTTAGGTGTCAATGTCAATGTTTTAATATTTTAATTAATATAACCAAGACACTATAGTCCTAAGATATACATTGACGTTATTTTTAAACGAGATAGCAACCAAATTTTATATTAATTTAATACCACCTTAGTAAATAATCTGTATCTGTTGGATTTTTGTAAACATGTCCCCACTGATGTCGAATTTGAAACTGTGCTTGTTTAAACAAATTTTGGATCTATTTTTATATTTAGGTGGTCTAAAAATAATGAAATATATTTCATAGACAGTTTTACTTGTTTGGTAAACGCAATTTAACCCTTCTTGGGTGTTAGTTACCTGTGAAGAATATTTAAAAGGTAACGAAATAGAAACTTTTTTTTGAAAAAGAAATTGTTTTTATGAAGCACTGGAGAAAGCAAATGGATAAAAATCATCAATCAAGCATCACTATATCACTTTAGCGGGTCAGTTTAGATTTGAAAAATTCTATGGCAGCAGATAAACAAACAAAGTACAAATTAAACCAAATCATCAGTTTTGGAAACGAAAATAGAACAATTTCCAAAACGCGAACTAGCTTAAGGTGAAGGAACATTTAAGTAATGATCCTTTTGGTACAAGGGTTGGTTTAATCAATTTTTTAATTTTTCCCTCAGGTGGAAAACACCCAAAGAAAAAACAAAGGACTAAAATTATGCCTCAACGTTTTGTTAATAGTTAGGCTATATTTTTAACACCGCTCACCAATTTACTGTTATTCTTGGTAATGATTTTTAATCATTAGCTATTTCTGGTGAATGCAATTAACAAATCGATTTTGTCTCCTTTAAAATCTGGCTCAACCTTCAGTCTGGGTCAATTTTTGTTGCTCACCTCGGTAATTACCTTCCTACCTTTTACATACACTATAAAGTTTATTGATTATTTCATAACTGTGTTAGTTATTTTCACTTTCTATAAATATGCGTTATTGTACGGAATCTTTTAGAAAACTAATGTTAGATATAATTTCATGACATAAACTTCGATGTGATATCAGGGTTGTATAGTATGTAAAGTCAATAATTTGTGAGGTAATCGTAATAAGAACAGAAATAGTTTGTATTGTATAGAGGTGAAGGTAATATGGAATAGTTCTGTTACTAAGGAGCATCCCATTAAATTGAAAGCCGATAAAGGTGTATGCTATTATGTTGTTAAAAATTGTATAATAGTAATTGGAAATGATCAATAGCACATTACAGTCATACAGCTGGAGTTCATATGAATTCAAAACAAAAGTTCGTTTACGTCAAATTATTTTAAAACGCTTAAGTGTTTTTTTATATTGACAACCAATTCTGTGAATTATTATAGAATTGCAACAGATTTGTCTTTATTTGGTTAACTTTTAAATTGAAACACGCAATAAACAGATGTGTCACGATGTTAATATGGTAATAATGGACGTGCAACGCTTCAATTCGCTTATGGAAAACAAAATGCGACTCCCAAAGTGCCGTGTTAAAAATTTATGACTCCCGAGTAATTGTTAATTGCCTTTGCACTCGCATCGGGGTTAGACAACGACCTAGAGGCATCAGACACCATTCTTTCCTAATGCAATGAAGAAGTTTGGTTCGTTCCTAAACGAGTTTCCAGAGACAAATTGGATAAATTTCATTACAAATTTGCGGGCTCTGCGGCATGTTGGGAAGCTGATTTTATTAATGTCATATGAGAATGCCACAATCTACCAGTGTGTGTAGAATGGAATATGTTTTGTACGGAATTTGCAAGGGCCTCGTTTTTCAAGGCGAGCTGTGTGTTGTGACCCTTCGTTGAGTTATTTCGTTTGGTGTGAATTGGTTTATGTTTTTTGGCTTTGTGAGATGCGATCCCAGTTATGCAAGAATGCCAAAACCGTCAGGCGCAGGTTAATGTATTCAGTCTCTATATGGTTTGATCGGCTTAGAACAACTCTTTATGTATTGTTTCTTGGGAATTTGCTTTTAAAACAACTAGAGATTAAGTCTGGTGCTCTTTTTTATATGGGGATATAAATTATGTAGAACAATAATTGAATATTTTCTTAAGCTGTACTGTTTCCAATTTCAATGTCCAATTTATTAACACGGAAAAATTTATCACGACCTATATGTATTTGCAGAGTACAATTTTAGATACATTCTTCAATTTTGACACTTGTAGAAATTATAGGCGTTTATTGAATTTAAGTCAATGTAAGTTATAAGTCTATTTTGACCGAAAAAAATTTCACAAATATGGTGGATTGTAATAATTTCTTGAACAATTTTTTTTGTCAAAAATTTATAAATGTAGAACATATTTTACACACCTATACAGGGTATGCCAAGAATAACATCCAACATTTTATTCATCTATTTAAATCATCAAATCATCAAAAACAGCATCTTTTGTTTAATATTTGTTTAATTTTTAAGGTAAAATATATTTTTTATTTTTTTAACCCGCCACTGGAACGTAAACTGAAACAATTGAATGATAAACAAAGAGATGCGGTGTTAATTCGGTTACTACTGAAAAATGATAAAAAGATAGAAAAAAATCAGTAAGTAAAAAATTACAATCTATTTACTATTACTATTTACTATTACAAACTTAGTAAAAAGAAGCCAATTTGTTATTTCGGTAGGTTGGCAATTTTTCTAATTAGGTTGCAACAAATGTCAAAATATGCTCCGTTACTGTCAGTAAATAATTCCACACGACGTTGAAAATTTTCTTTCACACTTACTAGGACTTCTGTATTGTTGGAATTATTCTGGAGGCATAATTAATTCGTTCTTGTAATTCCTCAACCATATATAAATGGAGTGGAATACACCAGCTGCTTCAAACGATCCCATAAATAAAAGTCGCATGGATTAAGGTCTGGCGATCGGGCGGGTCATGCAATTGGATCATTTCGACTAATCCATCGTCCAGGAAAATGGCGATTTAACCACTTTCGCATAACTCGAGCACCATCATGAATGTACCACATGTTTCTACCTAACCTATCTGGTATAACGTAAAGTCCAATTAGCTATTTGTTTACTATTCCGACCCAAAATTTATTTGAAGTTTTCGCATGTTTCCAGTTACAAAAATGCTGTCGGTCGCTGTAAAAACTGAACTTTTTGTACCTGGAACTGCTGTTCTTTAAAAACCTCCAGATTAAATTTTGTGAATACATCGTTCTGTTAAGTGAGTGTATGGGAGCTAGTTCCAGAACTATTTGCAACAATCTTCAATTCAATGCAATGATTAAGTTGTCGACAGTTCACTTTTAAATGATCCATGACATTGAAGTTCCTGGACAATGTAATGGGTCTATTCGGAAAATGATCCATATAAATTTTGCCAGTCTTAGAAGAGTTTCCAAGGCTTCACCATAAGCTAACATCATATACTTACGTATTCACTGTTTGTAAAATGCGACATGATGCACAATCACAACTGTTAATACCTCGTTGTACTTCTTGCATTTGACACGAAGTCTAGTAAAATTCTTTAGGATAGTAAATCATTACATAACACATTAGCAAACGTTACTTAGACATTTCTTTAATCTATAGACAGACCGTTAGTGTTATTTTATGGGTAAAAATACTGGACAAGGAGATTTTGAAAAAAAAGTTGTTGCTTTTGATGAGTTAAAATAGTGGATCAAATTTTGGAACTTATTTCTGGGACATCATAGTCGACTTATCTATTCCAGTCATTAATATTTGCTTTTGATATAATAAATTGAGTTTGAAATTTGTTTTACCTTCATTTTATTACTTCTTCACTGATTTTAACTTTATTTTCATTTTTACTTTAGACTTCAGTTCAAACACGTCTGTAATTGACACACATTCGCAACATTCCGAAATTAATTCACATCGTTTTAGATTTTTTTTTGGTGAGCAGCCTTCGCGTCGCCTCCTTGTTTCTTTCTCACGTATCAAATCAGCCGGTGCTATAAATTTTGCCTTATCTCCTCCAGATCTAAGAGTGAGTGTGCATTGGCCTTTACAGAAACGTTCTGTTTTTTTTTTGGCAGTGGATATCGGTCCAGTCGTGGGCTGTGGAACTTAAAAGATCAGGTGTTCGTACTCATCTGATTGCAGAAAACCGTCTGGCAGAACTTGCGGAGGTTGTAGGTAGGTCATATAGTTTTGGAAAACATAAATAATTCATCCGTTGTAAGCGATATGCGGACAAATTCCACTGGTGTATCTAGCAGCAAGTACACATTACTCTAATGTCTTCGTTTAACACAAAGTTTATCAGTTTATATTAAAATAATATGGTGCCTTCAACGTCTTGAGAAGTAATTGAAAAATAAATAATCAAGTGCTGACAAGTAAATTATTTTGAACTCATTTGCGATACGATTATATTCCAGTTAAACTAATTGCGGGGTAGCCTATAATTTAATAACGTTCCTTGCGAGGTTAAAATCGCTAATAAGTTTG